AACCAATCTGATGTAATCTCCCCGAAGGATGAGGGGAATACTTTGCAGAGCAACGGCTCGTTCCCACTATATAATGCCATTGAATTTAGGTATAGTCCAACGTGAAAGTTGGGATCTGACTTACCATCATATATTTGGAACCTCGGCATACTGAATCTCTTTGGTGCTTCAAATTTGTCTAGTTCTACTGAGAATGGTATCCTCGGCTTAATCGGGAAGTTACTTCGGCTTCAGCATTCTGTTGCTTCCTCTTGAGGTAATCTCTCAAGTCTTCTTTACTCATTCCTGGAGCTCGACTATCTTTGGACTTCAATCTTTTCGGCACACTACTTTCGGCCTCGTGGTGGGCCCCTTTTGATCTTTCTCCATGGGTTGTGTCAAAGCAGAGCGCCTGCCCTTGAACATGTCGATGTTCTTTGGGCTCTGGGTCCTTTGTGTGATACGTCCTTCGGGACTCCTCTCGTCTCGGCTCCTCTCGTCCGACTTCCCTGGAAGGTCGATGAGAGTGCCTTCCGCTTTTGGTGTGCTGAGGGGCTTCGGGGACTGTTTTCCTTCCTCCCTTCTGGGTATTAATTGCTGGAATCGGCGTGTCGTGCAGCGGGTACGGTGGCTTTATGACATTGTTTTGCATCATGAAGTTGACGACCGACTGCAGTTCTGCCAACTTGTTTGCCAATTCTTTTATTTCTTCATCCCTCCGCAGGCACCTATCCCTCCATACCTAGAGGTTATCTTCGTTATAGTACTTGCTTTGGTCTGTCTTCTTTGAAGTTTCGCCCTCCTGGCCGACGTCTTTCTCTCCATGGCCCTGGTCACGAATTTCTGCATTATGGTTGTCTCCTTCGATATCAAGGTCGATAGGTCTGCCATTCCCAGCAGGAGTGTCGTCCCCAATCTTTTCCTTCTGTCCGTTACTGGCCATCTATTCTTCTACTTTTCCACAGACGGCGCCAAATTGTGTGAGTGATTTTCTGACCACACTGCCCGTTTAGTAATCAGCTAAAGAGCACCGGCAGAATAGATGGCTTCAGTTAACCTGTAACAGAAAGAAAAGGCTCCGGCGGTGGCTCTTCCACCCGGGGCACTCCGACGATCAAGTCAGTAGATCTCTCAAAGATAATCAGGTGCTAAACTCACTGTTCAAAGCATAAATTGCGTACCTTAGGCCCACGGGGGTGCCTCTCTTTTATAGTTAACTCAATCCTAGTACCACTAGAAGCCTGACTTCTATGGACTCCAATTCAGTACTTACTTTGGACTCCTCAAGAGATAAAGATAAACTCCCTAAAAGTTTTATTCTCGTCTTGACTAAGTCCTCTCTTCATTTTAGGACTCTTGTCCCCTATCCGTTTATCTCGGATTCCAATATCTTCGGAGATCACCTCGGCAACGCCGAGATAACCTCGGCATAATGATCAGGACACGTGACACCTCGGCTGACACATCGGCGTCACCATATCACGTGTTGGTACTCAGAAAATATATTCCCACAATATTAAAATAATTTTGAATTATTCATAATTAATTTAACATGCTTAAACATTTGTGTCCTCTCAATCAAATCCTGACTCTGTTATATTACGTTTTAGCTATGTAAAATCCTCTCCTATGATCGTATCTACTTATCCCAAGTCATCTTCCTAACACGAGGCCTTGTGAGTCAAGACAGGAAAATCAAGGATACCTCTCTCATGTTTGTCACTATAACTTTTCTTTCTTTCTTCTTTTATTTTATTTTTTTGGCACAAAGTTCCTAGGTAATTAAATCTTTCAAATAACTACATATTATAATGGTCTCTCCATTCTGTCAGTGATGTAGTAGTGCCTTTTCAAAAAAAAAATCATGTGGCCCCGAAGGAAACAATATATATATTTTCATGTTATATAGTTCCAAGACAAGACAGGTTCATCAAATGCATTTTGGGGTTATTTGAAGGGTTCAAGTTCAATAAATGTGTATGGCTAATGTTAGGGATACCAAATTTTTTATCAAATAAATGATCAAATGTCTCACATGAGTGTGGGGTCCGCAATTTTATGGGTCCCACACCCATGTGAGACATTTGGTCATTTATTTAATAAAAAATTTGAGAACTCTAGCATTTTTCAATGTGTATATATCATCTTCTCTGCTGCTGCTTTTTTCTTGACCAACCAGATATACAAATCAGCACCTGCAAACCACAGATTCATTGGCAGTGCCCCAATAAATTCATTTTATCATGTTAAACAAACAGAGCATTAGTTTTTCTATCCCTGACAAAAGAGCTACGAAATCTGAGCCAATCGTGTTTCTAAAATCTTTCTAATTATTGACCATACAGCTGAACAATTGGCATCACTGTCAATATCAATTGCATAGTCAATTTATGATCAATCGTGTAATCTTCTCTAAAGTTTTTTTTTTTTTTTACTTTTTTTTTATAAATGTAACAAATTAAATAAGTTATAATTATTAAATCGATATAATTTTTTTTATATAAATATTATATACAACAAAATTTATCAAAGGGGAAATTATCCATAGGTCCCATGGGAAACATGTGATCTCCATTTAATCCCATAACTTTTTCACTATACCCAAAAGCCCTTTCCTCTCTCTCTCTGCTTTTTGCTTCCCTTCCTCTCTCGTTTTTTTTTTCTACATTTTTCTGTCACCGTGTTTGTCATGGAAGAGGACCACTGGTCATCATATCTTTCTCCATTGATCGGGGTTCATTGATAACCACCAAGCATTGAAATCAACTCCGACGAAGAAGATGAATGGATCTACTTAGATCTGATATAGATCTACTCAGATCTACATCAGATCTGAGTAGATCTACACAGATTTGGTTAGACATCCGTCTTTCCCCTTCGATCTCTTTTTTTTTTTTCTCTCTGCTATACACTTCTGTTTTTCTGTTCTAATGGAGAAAATTTTCTAATTCTGAACAAGCAGTTTTCGAGTTTTAGTTACAGGCAGTGAAAACTGTAAAATTTTGCAGTTTCAAAATTTTTTTTTGGTGCTGGAATGAATCATGGTTTAAAACTGTAAAATTTTGCAATTTTATAACATTCTTTAGAACTGTAAAATTTTACAGTTTCATAACATGTTTTTTAATTTTTTTTTTCATAACATTTTTTTTTTCTGCTATACATTCTTTATAACATTTTTTCCGACGAAGAAAATGATATATTTTCCGACGAAGAAGATGAATGGAAGTGAAGAAGAGTGAAGGTATGTGTAGAAAATTCTAACGGACTAGGTTGAGGTCCGGCGGGCGGCCAAGGCGAGGTTGCCGCCCGCCGGGGAAGCGAAAAATACAAAGTTCTTAACCTAGCTCTGATACCATGTAAGATAAATTGATAAAGAGAGGGAGAGAGAGCAAAATGAATAACTTTGTATTTCTGTCTATTATTACAAGAAGATGAACACTCTCTTTATAGAGAGGAGATGACAGCATAGGATGCTAAGTTAGGCACCGAAAGCAAGAAACATTACATATTATATAATATAAATGACAACTAGCTATGCTTTACTTTACAGCTTTTCTGTACACTAATAATACTAACAGCTAATAACATATAATACATTATATACAATTATATATTAACACAATGATACACTAACATATATTATGGGAAATTTTTGTTAAGGTTCCTAATATTAAAATTTTATAAGATAAAGGATATACAATATTTTTATAATAGTTAAGGCCCCTCAATATTTTTATAGAGAAAATTCGACTCAGAAATTTTGTCCGACTCAAAGAAATTTCGGTCCCGACACAGAAAATTTTTAATTTTCACAGTGAAATTTCTTTGATTTTACTAAGAAATTTCGGATTTCTTTAGTATGATTACAGAAAAATTTAATCGCGAGACCTTTGCTAATAAAAAAAAATATTGAACCTCTCTTACTATGCAAAGTTGGAGAAGAATGTTTTACTATTTTTTTCATATATTGTTATTATCTATTTGTAAAGCAACAATTTGATGAAAAGAGTTGAATCCCTAACTTCTTAGAGTATCTCCATCAAACTAGATATTTTTATTTTTTAGCTAAAATAGTGAATAAAGCATTAAATTTCAACTCTACCAAACTAGCTACCAAGTTAGCTATTTTAGTTTCAGTAATTTTGGCTCAACAAATGTAGCTAATAGTTTTGACTAATCAAATATTAAAAAAATTAATATTTTTATTATTTATAAAAGATAATTTAAAATAAAAATAATATTTGAATGATATGGATAAAGAATAGAGAGTTTGTTGAAAAGTGTATTGAAAAAGTGTCTAGTTAAAATAGAAAAATTAACTTTTGATTTAAAATATAACAAAATTTTAAATAATTTGACGGGGATGCTCTTAGCCACGTGGACAAAATGTGGCTCAATTGGATGGACTGTAAAATAATGTCGAGAAAGGCCGCCCCAACCTGGAGCCCACAAATGTGGGCCTCAAGCCCATTAATCCCCAAGATTTTCGAGCCAATTGGAGCCCGGTCCAGCCTTTATCACAGCTTACCCCAACTAACATCGAACGGCCCAAAGCGAAGCGAACGCGATCAGCCTCTTGAGATAAGAGTCGGTTTATATGGAGGTAGGAAACAGAATTCTGAAAATCCATGGCGGGAACTGAACCACAGAAGCAACTGCTAACTCTAATTCGCGACTTCGCCTCCGAGAAATCTCAAGGAGGTGTGGCGGTCTCTTCTTCATCGCTTTCTGTTTGGTTGCCGGGAAAGCATTAGAAAATAAATTAAGAAAACACGATTTGAATTGAAAGTTCGATTTCTTCTTATTATCTCGTGTTTTCTCCGTAACCAAACGGAAGAGGACAAAATGTAGCTCAATTGGATGGACTGTAAAATAATGTCGAGAAAGGCCGCCCCAACCTGGAGCCCACAAATATGGGCCTCAAGCCCATTAATCCCCAAGATTTTCGAGCCAATTGGAGCCCGGTCCAGCCTTTATCACAGCTTACCCCAACTAACATCGAACGGCCCAAAGCGAAGCGAACGCGATCAGCCTCTTGAGATAAGAGTCGGTTTATATGGAGGTAGGAAACAGAATTCTGAAAATCCATGGCGGGAACTGAACCACAGAAGCAACTGCTAACTCTAATTCGCGACTTCGCCTCCGAGAAATCTCAAGGAGGTGTGGCGGTCTCTTCTTCATCGCTTTCTGTTTGGTTTCCGGGAAAGCATTAGAAAATAAATTAAGAAAACACGATTTGAATTGAAAGTTCGATTTCTTCTTATTATCTCGTGTTTTCTCCGTAACCAAACGGAAGATTTTTAGTTCTTTGGCTAATGATATTGAATTTGTGTTTGTACGTGTTCCGAGATATGCAGAGCGCAGAATTGTTGGTCTGAAAAACCGAACTCAACAGCTTCGATCTGAGTTAGATTTGGCAAATTCTGAACTAGAAGATGCCAAGCGTCTGAAAGAAACTACTGAGCAAGAGCTCAAAGGATACGAAGTTGAATTGGCTATGAATGAAGCTTTCATTCAAACTCTAGAGGTTTTGTTCTCTCAAATTCGTATGAATGATTGTTCAGTTTCTCGGCAATTCACACAGGCTTCGATTAAATTTTTTTGTCAAAATGTGATTAGGTTTCAGTTGATTTCTTCACATTTTGATTAGTTTCTGTTTAAATTACCTCCTCTAGACTAGGATTTCTCTGATTCAAGACGAGATATCGATTGCTGGATCTGATTTGGAGTCTATTAAGGTACTCACTAGGGCGTTACAATGTTTCTGTGTTTTTCTTAATAGATTGTTTCATTTCCTTCTCTAATGCCTTTATATATTTTCTTCTTTTGAACCTACTTGCACATGAAACAACAATTGAGTAGAATGAAGAAGAGGCTTTGCGGTACGGATTTGTTGCTTGGTTTTGGATTAATTAAATGATTTGATTTGTTGATACATCAAAACCTGAAAGTTCTTCATAATGGCATGTATTGTTTGATGATTTTTAATCCTCTATGCAGAGATGACTTCATTAGCAAAATGTTTGAGCTCAACACTAATATAAGGTTGGCCTCGTGCACTTAAGACCGTGGTATTTTACTTTCATTTGACTTCTTTATGTTCACGTATAAGATTGGAAACAACACATAATTTCTGGATAGAAGGAAAAATAGACTGTGCTTTGACAAATATCAGCTTACATTCCAAAGTTTACTGCACTACAAGCATAGTCCCGATGATTATCCCAATGCTAACAAACGCATCTGTACTAATAGAAGACATGTCAGGCCAACTTGATGGCTTTTGTGCAATACATAGAAAAAATGCTTAAAGCATTGTATGAGGTGGATTTCTTTTCCTGGTTACAAAATGCCCCCTCTTGACAGGCTAATTGTAGAGATTGTTGTGAGTGGTATTTTAAACTGGAATGTGCATCATGATAGTTACTAATCGGAATCCATTTACTTGCTGATGCAGGAAATTCCAAGAGCGAATAGCTTGTGCTTTTTGTGAAGACAATTCAATCCAAACTTCAATGAACGATGGTCTGTGTACTTTGTTAATTAGTGCTTGATATTTATAAGGGAGATGTTTATTTCCTTTGACATTGTTTTGGCAGTGTCTTGTGAATGGTAATGATATACAAAATTTAGTTGACAAAGATATTAAAAGTTTGACCTTGATTGTATGACTGCGCATGTCTTCTTCTTCTTCTTCTTCTTCTTCTTCTTCTCTCTCTCTCTCTCTCTCTCTCTCTCTGTGGGAAAGATATTCAAAGTTTGGCATAAATTGGATGAATGTGTTGTCTCTCCATGTCAATTTATAAAACCAACCTTTGTCTCATGGTATCATTTCATTTTTATATCTTTTTAAATGCTTAAAGATACATTGCGACTTTCTGCCAAAAGCAGGCCAAAAACTCAGTGATGCAGAAGATCCTGAAGTTAGCAGAAGAGACCTTGACAATAAGATTGCTGAAATAATTTCTCAAACCACTGTAGAGGAACAAGAGTGTCAAGCAGAGCAAACTATTCATAAGCAGGTGGTCAGTTGCTCTTTGTGTTTTAAAAACATTACTTTAATTCATTTTTCATTTGATTTTGCTGTTTTTGAAAAACGCATACCCATTCTTTGCTCCCTTGTTTTTTTTTTGATATTTTGCCCAAAGTTTCTCCTGGAAGATAATCTAGGAAATTGAATGGTCTGGAACTCCTGTAGGTCCAGGAGGAGCTAATTGATTTGGAAAGGAAGGTCTTCCTGATGGAGTCAATTATGAAAGAAAGCATCGAGTTGCAGGACTTGACTAGATATCCTTACCAAAATGTCATTGTGTAGTCTCTGTTAAATGGCCACTTGATCTGCATACTGAAAATTTATCCTTTTGACCAGCATGCTAAAAATTAGTTTTTTTGATCACCCAGACAAGAGTAAGAAATGTTCCAGGGAAATGAATTATCTTTTCCTTTCTATTTTTCCTTATTGTTTTTGTCCGTCTTATAGGTAAATATGTTGCATGCTCTCTTCAGTTGGAGAAAAGGACACCGACGGTTAGACTGATACTTTTAAAATTCTTTCTTTGCAGCAACCAATTATTGCATTTATATGTTTTTAATTAAAAAAGAAAATTGGATTGTTATCCTGGCTTTTGTGACCAGAAACATTTTGCATAGATTTAGCACTTTATGTAACATATTACATGACCATTGACAATGAATATGTCCTTGACTGGGAACAAGCAGACTTCCGAGTTTGAAGAGAGATGTGCCTCTCTCGGTGAGGAGCTGCAGAGGAGGTGCATATGTCCAAGTTGTCATCTAGACAACGTGGAGGCATTGGATGGGATTCTTCAGGCCAGTGATGGGAATTAAACTGTAAGTAATCTCTTTGGGGATCACTCCATCTAAACTGTTCACCTTACAGTTCCAGTGTAAGTGAGAATTTGAGATTCTACAGATGTGTTTTACATCTGTTCTCTATTACATCTGCAATTGACTCTACGAAGTGAAACCAAAAGCTTTGTGTTTTGGCAGAGCAGTACAATGGCCATTTGGTGCAAAAGGTGAGAGGGAGTACTCCTAATTGCCTCAGACTTCATTAAAATGCTTTGTGTGTGTGTTGTTTTTTTTTTTTAGTTTTAATGCTTTCATTTTCATATACGGTCGTCAGTTTATCTCATTTCTCTTGGAAATTCATAAATCTCTGATGCTTAAGCCTTTATTATTATTATTATTAGTTTTTGGGGTAAAAAAAAAATGAGGTATCACTTACTGTAATATTTAATAAATGATAGTTACTTTTGCATAATTATCAACTGCCAATCTAACTTAAATGGGTAATTCATGAGCAAAAAAATGAGGGCCACACATTAAGGGAGGAGAATACAGCAAAATATACTCTGTATGCCCGCTCTGTAGCAGTATAACTAATTAAATTCCATTAGCAACTTCTAAAAAAATATCTCTACAGCTTTTGCATGTGGCTTGATGATGCTTCTATATCCTTTACAATCAATGAGAGCAATGTAGATGTAGCCTCCTCTTTATTGGTTTCATCCTGTACCTGCAATTATAGTTATTACATTAAGAAGTTTATGAATTGTTCCTTCAAATTGAGGGAGTTGTGGGATCCATCTCATCAATACATTATCTATTAGGAGAGCACAAATAGAATGTTTTATCGAATCCTGACAAGATCATACTTACAGTTTGGTTGGGAGGAGGAATAATGGGTTGAAGAGGAATAACCCTTGGTGTTGTAGACTTAGCAACATCAATTTGAGTCAAGAAAAGAGCAGAGACAGGCCGATGATCGGAGAACTTGCTCTCACTGCGGAAATAGGAATGTTGCTTCACTCCTTTACCATACCACAAAATCCTGTCACACCTGCAACCATGAAAAATATCTCATCTATTGCATTTTTTCATGGAGCTATTAGAAAGTAAGCAGTCTACATGAAAATAGAGAACGTAGATTTAGACCCTAGTTTCGTACATGTGCTAAAATTTTCATAAACATGACCATAACCAAGTGATACAGAGTGATAAGCATCATTCACAAAGATCATTGTTGAGTAATTATACCATGCTGGAGTTCGTTGCTTCTCTCCCGCTCTGCTTGGAAAACCACCTGAATATCGGTTGCAATTTGATGAAGAATACTTGTAGGTAGGAGCGAACTCAATGTTTCCCTCTTTCCAACCTTGGAATGCTCCACCATATTCTAGTTCCCTTTGTAACTGATCAAACTCTTGAAGTGCTCTCCAGTCTTGAGTCTTTATCAGTTGCCTGGCTAAGTTGTCTTCTAAATATAGCCTATAATTGAGATCCCCAAACCAGAATATCCGACTGTTCAACACATAGATTTGGTCACTAAAGAGAAAATTTCATTCAATTTTAAATAAATCCACTTTGCATTCTTCGTTTATCCAATATTTACATGTTTTTTAGTCCATCTTTGTCGATCTTTTTTTCAGTCTTATTTTTGTTGTTTATGTAATGTATAGACATTGGAAGGAAAACTTACTCGTGTCCTAAGATGGTTAGAGGATGAAGATTATCTCCATCTCGTGGGAATCGGGGGAAAGAAGTTCGCCTAAAAATCTCAAAGACTTGATGATTCCTTCGCCCTTCATCCCCTTTCTTCTCACCAGAAGCCAAGTGTGCAGCAATGAAGCAAAAACTAGTTTTTTCAATTGTCATGGTTACTGAAACTGATCCTTTGTTTCCCAAATAGCCCATGATACCACAAGCCACCGAACAAACTTTTATACTCGATACGCTATACCTCTTAAGCAATTCCCTCTTCATCCAGACTGTTATGAAGACTCCAACCATCTTCTTGCTTGCCATGAGCTTGTACCTACTACACCGACATGGCTGATCTCTTGTCGGTGATAAAGTTCGGCCGCTAGCACTTGCTCTTCTCTCAGAGTCACGAACTCCTGCATAGTGATAACTGTCACTTGTGATAGGATTCAAAATTGGTGTTAACCAAGGGCACCCATATTTGTCATTGAGCGTTTTGCCAATTAGCAAGTTCCAGTTTGTTGCTTCTGTTGGGTCTTCAGCTCCAATTACGTTTCTCGCTTTTAAAGGTACAATCTCTTGAAATCTGCAAAAGAGTTTAGTTTTTTTGCTGAATAACACACTTATTCACAGAGATTATGAATCTAAATCTAACGTACCCAAGAACATAAATGTCGGCAGCTTCCTTGAGGTTCAACCATTCGTCCACATCCACTGCCAAACTCCCTACGGGAGATCTTCCAGCAACATTCCAAGTACCTACAAAGACTCTGGAATACAAAGATCTGGTAACTACTAAATTCAATTGTCTCGATAGTCTATTCATTTTGACAATATATTCCAAAGTCTCACCTTAGTTCATTGGTTATTAAGCATGTCTCGTTCTCCATCGCCTGAACAAAAACATCATCCGGATAATCATTGCTGTCATCTTCATCTCGATCTGCAAGGGACCAAATTTATTATTCTGGTTAGAAACCCATTCATTTCAACCAATAACTACGAATAGAACGAGTGTAAGAAATATAGAAGATTTTTTTTTTTGTTGTTAAACCTGCAACTTCACCGAGGTCAAATGGGTCGGGTCTCTTGTGTTTCCTCTTGAACCACTGTCGGAACCTTCTCCTTCTGGACTTGGTGTTCTCGTTATCCATGATTGATCAGAAGAAGAAAGATACAGTCCATGCCAATCATAAAATGGAGTAAACACGGTTTATAAAAGGTTTTAAATCTTCGATATATGTGAGCTGTGTATGATTTCCTAGCACGATTACAATGGAAGTCAACTATACTGAACGAGGCCTGGAAGGGTTCATTGCGTTGATCGCCAGGATACAAGAAATGAACAGGTTACGACTTTTAAAATACGACTACAAGAACCTTCAACTAATCATTGCTCTACCGATAATCCCTATAAAGAGAGAAAGATGGATGGGATTTGTGAAGAATCTCTTATGGTTTGATGTATAATGATTTCAGCAATGAGAGTGACACCAAACACAATCTTCACAACTTAAAATGATCTGAACTATTTATTTTATTATTAAATATAATTCTTAAAAAAAATTTAAACACATCAATAATCAATAGATCAGTAAGAGTTGTGAGATCCTCTTTTTGTGAGGATCTCAAACATTTTTCATAATGACTTTTAATTTATTTTGCGTCATGTTATTATTTTATTTTTTTTATATATTTAAAAAAAATAGAAAAAATCAAAAAGTCAGCCATCTAAGTTGTTCGTAGACAGACAAAAGTGGGGAAGGTTATGGTCCTCACGAGCTGCCATCAGCTTATTAATTATTGATATTGCTGTTTGGTGGTGCCGATCACGTATGTATCGTGTGAATTGTACGTGACATCGTCAGTGTTTTGTTAAAAAAATGATATATAAGTTTAGAAAATATATGTATATTTTTTATAATCAAAATAAGAATATATATGTATATTTTTGGCTTATTTGTTTATTTTTTTTGTAAAAAATTTATATATTTATATTAAAAATTCTTACACGAATAATTAAGTATATTTATGTGTGAAAAAATTATCTAATGCTAGGTCAATCTAAAATATGGAGCTTGATCTGATTCTACCTTGGGCTTAGTTTAAAAATTGATTCGATCAATTCGTAAAAATAGTTAATAATAATCAATTTAAGCTTATGTTTAATAATTTTTTAAGTTATGATGGATATGAGGTAAAACTAAATCAAATATGTAGCAACTGGATTTGGTTGATTTTTGTATTATATATCAATCCAATTTTTAGATAATCATTTTGATTCATGCCCAACCATCACATTGCCACTTATTTATTTTTTAAAATGGTAAAAATATTGTAAACATTTTTATAACCAAAATAAAAAATATGATTATATATTTGGCATATTTATTAATATTCTAAAATTTCAATTAAGAAACTATATATTTATTCTTAAAATATGTCTAATAGTAAATTATAAGCGTTTTTTTTTAGGGTCCATGATATTAAAATTTTATAGTATAAAGGACATTTAATATTTTCATAATGTCTAAGGTCCCTCGACATTGAACCAGAGAAATTTCAACCCAGAGAAATTTCAGTCCAGAGAAATTTCAGCATAGAGAAAATTCGGTCCAGAGAATTTCTCTCCAGAGAAAATTTGATCCAAAGAAATTCTCTGGATTCCAGTCGAGATTTTCTTTGGATTTTCAGAGAATTTCTCTGATTTTCGCAAGAATTTCTCCGGATTTAAAAAAGAAAAAAGGCCTGAGATTGTGTGCTTGAGAGTCAAACAAAGTGGGTTTGTTGGTGGTGGAAGAGAGGTGGTGGTGGTTATGGAGGAGGCGGTTGTGGGTGGTTGGAGATAGAGCCAAAACTATGGTTCAAGAAAGAAAAGATTGACTCGGTCCGTGAATCATACTCTTCATCTCCACCACTTGAAGATTGCATATTCACATTGTTTTCAGAATCCATTTGCTAACAAAAAAGTGATATAAAAGATGATATATTAAATAAATAAATAAAGGGGCCAAACCTGTTGAGAGATGGTTGTAGTTCCAAAAAAAGAAGAGAATCTGAAAGAGAACACAGAGAAAATTCACATAGTGATCACAACCAGAGAAATTTCATACAGTCAGAGAAATTCCAAGGATGGTCAGACGCCTGAGCAACATGCTTTACTGGCCTTCACTCTTGGTGTCAAGCAAATTATGAGAATTTCTTTGGCCTTTTCCAAAGAAATTAGAAATTCCCGAATTTATCTGGCCTTTTCCAGAGAAATTCCCGAAAGGGCTGTTCCTACTAAATTCATAACTACTGAATGCATATCTGATCTAGACATATAATATAAAAGATATAGAACAAGTCACTTACAATGGAACCACTGGAAATTAAAGCTGTGTCATACAAAAGATCAATAGCTCTCAAAGCTTCTTCATCATTTGGGTCACTCTTGAATGCAGCCTGCATCATTCACAAATAGAAAGTGAAAAAAAAAAAAAGCTTGCAATTAGCTGGGGTTATATTGGTACAACGCAGAATGAAAATGGGAATTTTCTAATTATTGACCAAATCGTCATACATTTAAGGTGTTAATGATTGGGTGTTGAGGATTGATCTTAAACACCCTTCTTCCTCTCATGAATTCCAGGCCACCAACTGTTTGGGCCTTCATCAGCCTGCAAGGAATTCAATTCTGTGTCAAGAATGTCAGAAGAAACTGTTAAAACTATAACACCTATGAAGCATGAATAATCCACTTCACCTTTCCATATTTGCAGACCAACCAAACTTCCCAGCGACGGCGACATTGCCGGAGAGGAGGAGGCGGCAGTGGTGCTAGATTCGCTGCTCCACTGGCGAATGTAGAGTTGCCTCTAAAGAGTCTCTGTTCGTCTTCGGTCCATCTGTTTACAACAAATGATCTCGGTCTAGATCTTTGGAGGGTGAAGAGTAAGAAGAGGAAAGGTACAATTCAATGCACAATAATATCTGGGAATTTTATCTATTGAGAGAGGGAGAGAGTCACGGTCGGAAAAGTAGTCAAGGTCGCAAATTGTCTGTCTGTGTATGAAGTCTTCGACGAAGTGAGAGAAAAGAGCAGCGATGAGAGAGAAAAAGAGAGGAGGGTGAGGGTTTGAAGGTGTAAGGTATATCAAATTTCTCTGTAGGGACCTTTAACATTATAAAATAATATTGTGGATCTATTCCATTATTAAAAATGAGAGAGGGACCTTAGACTAATTTTTCCTAAGTTATATTTATATCTGAAAGAATTATTTAAGATCAGATTAAGCTAGTTCGTGGATTTTATTTTTAGTATAAAACTTGATCAAAACAAATCGTAATTTTCAATTTAAATTTTTATTTAATACAAATTTTCACGAAAAATATTTTAATATTTTAAAAATAATTAATTATTTGTGAAATGAAGTTACCATTATAAAAACACTATAAAAAAAAAATTATTTAGTAGTGTGAAAGCCCATAACTAAAGAATTAAATTGATGAGAAACACAATTAATAATTTTTTTTTTTAAAACAAAATTAATGAATGAGGCTAATATGAAGAGAGTTTATAATTATACACACTAAATTTTTTTTCACACCCATCGCATGTATTAAAAAATTTATAATTTATAATGTAGACATAAATATTAGTACATATGAGTGTACAAAACAAATAAAATATTTATAAATTATGTCACATTATCTGTTAGTACACTAATTAGTATATCAATTGGTGCATATAGTTTTAATTTTTTTTTATCTTTCTTTTTTAAAAATATAAATTATGGAATTATTAAATATTTTGAAAATTATTACTTTAATGAATTAGCCGATATTTCTTTTTTTAATTTAATAAATTCACAAATTTGTTATGAGATTTTTACAAAAATTCTATTTTCCTTAATATATAATATAGATAGGAAAAAGTTGTTGAACATGTGGGTGTGTATACAAAACAAAATTTGTCTAGGGGACCACCATAGACAAATTTGGAGTTTAACTTTTACATTGTAATTTTATTTATTTATTTTTCGTAGGGCTGGGGGATAAGTTTATTGCTCATATTACTTTAAAAAGATTTATTCTGTCAAATTTTACAATAGCTATTCCTCAAAAAACTTTCTATTAACCGCATGTAGGTGTCCTGGCATCTCCAGCTTTTGCAATCTTTGAACCTTGTCTTACTTGTATGCGTGTGTTCTCTTCGTTGTTCTGTTTAGCATCTTATACAAGTAATAATGTTAGGTAGCTCAAATTTTTATGGTTCAAATGACTTAAATCACTTAAAACGACGTCGTTTTGACAGATTTTGAGTGTAAAACGACGTCGTTTTGACAGATTTGAGCCATTTAAGCCACAAAATTTTGAGTTACCAAACATTTTCCTTATACAAGTTACTTTATAAAAAAAGTTTAAATATTTTTGAGCACTATGATAAATATGACATAAACATGCAACATCAAATAATTTAGCAAAAATCTTAAATCAATTGAATAGTGTAAAACAATTCTCTCATTTTTATAGTTGTGTAAATTTGTCGTTTGCTTCGTACAAGTGTTAATTATGCGTTAGACTTGCATAAAAAATAAAAAATAAAAAAAACTTGCATGCGTGGTGGAATTTTTCGGTATGATAGTTGATCATAATCATATATGGCCCAACAACATTAATGGGGATATCTGCCACATGTACGTGAATTATGCACTACCTTTCAAAATTTTCGTACATTTGATCTTGATGATCAGATCATAATTGGAAGCGACTGTGGGCTAGATAGGATAGGATCACATCGGGTGGGTCCAATGGCGTGAATACAATGACAAAGTGCACAAGACAATTTAGAGAAGAGAGACATTAAAAGTTAATTTTTTTAGTTTTTTTATTTTTTTAAAAAAAAATATATAAAAAAGATAGAAAGATGTTGTGATTTAAAAAAATCAAAAAATTGACTTTTAAACCGTTGTCAAAATAGGTCTAAAAACATGTCATCGGATGAGAGTTAGATTAAAATAGTACATTAAAAAATTAAAATATTTAAATATTTAATAAAGTAAAATATCACATCTAATTTATTTTACAACTCTCTAATCAATTATAAAAAAATTCAACCAATGTTCCAAACATAATTTTTTTAACTAAATTAAAACTATCAAAAAAAAAAAAAAACAAAAACTAATTAAAATAAGAGTCATGATAGAGATCCCCTCTAATCACCACTCTTACAACCCCACAGACACGTGGCGGGTGGTGATTGGAGTAGTAGGAAAAAAAGAAAAAAAAATATAATCAATAAGAGAGAGAGGGGGTCAAAGGAGGTGAGGAGAAAATGGGACATAAAACATTTTTGTTAAAATAACGAAAGGGCGAATAAATTGTTGCGACATTCTAACAAGTGCATTTGAGAGGTTGTATAGTCTTTTTTTGGGGGAAGATATCCATCCACCTCAATATCATAATAATATTGCCCATGCTTTCATCTGGGCCGTTGGTTTACTTTTTCTAAACGCTCAATCCTCGT